AGTATGTCACAGTATCTTTTGTAGAAACCGATCCGATCCTCCACCTGTGGGTTAGAACCTTTACCACATTCAATTCCACCGTTGATGATATTGGTGATCACACCATAGCCAGGGACACGACCGGCTGCTGTATCTGCTGCCGATGGCCTCCATGTTCCGGTGATGACGTCATGGCATGAAGGTTTTGGCGATTGGGGTGTCATCCAAAACCAGAACGCTGTCTTGAAAGAAACTACTGGATCGTTTGCAACAGTTTCAGGGCTGTTTAGCAGATTCGTTCCGATGGCTTTTCCTGCTGGACCATAGTTGTAGTTGCTGGCAAGTCATGGTAGAGGTCCGAGTACAAAGTTAAGGTTTTGTGATGGATGCAATTCAGAAGAAGAGGGCAAAACATGCTCTAATCTGTTGATTATCTAACCAAAGTGAAAAAGAAAACACTTACTATGAGATTTGGATGGGGCCTCGACCATAGTACTTCTTACCCGGAACGCATGGCCATTGTTGATTTGCAACACAATAATCTGGTGGGTTGCCTTGTTCTTCTTTGAAGCAGTATCCCCAAGCATATGGACCATCTGGGGCAGTAGCCCAGCCACCTATGTTAATCCATCAAAAATATATAAGTAACCATGTTGTCATGCAATATTCTTTTTCATTTTATCGAAATAACCTCGACATATACGGGATATGAATACATAAACGATTATGATCCTCTACAAACCTAAAGTGACAAGACCCTTTTTTTTTTCTTTTTTCATTTGCTAGTTAACTTGGGGTTTAGCTCCTTTATATGTGTCACTAATTATCTTTTCCCCTGGTGCACTGTGGCCATGCATGTCATTTTTCGAACATACAGGAGAGCGTAACTGGCATATAGTAATATTGGATCGATCAAACACAATACCAAAAACAAAGACCGGATTAATTAAACTTGAATTTCAAGCAAAATAAAAGTCGAATCAAAAGCACCACTATCTCATTGACATATGGATCCAGACATGGTAGCAAACATTTTTGTAAGAAAAGCTCCAAATGACTTGGCTGCAGCTATGAAAGCATCGTAAGTATAGAAGCCTTTCGCAGGGCAAGCCGCATCATTTCGATGCTTCAACATCTGGTCAAACTGGGTTTTACTGATGATCGAACCGATATCGGCTTGAGACAAGGCTCCTACGATAAACAAGAAACAGAGCAACACCACTGTCCAAAACGTCATTTTTTTCTCTCTTTCTCTTTTGGCTTAGTGTTTCTTAAGATGTGGTTTTTAGCAGAGGAAAGGTGGGGGTATATAGGGGCATGGTTTTGGGTTTGGGTTTGGTGTACTTTTCTACTGATAGGGACATTAATGAGTTCACTACATGTACCCACCCTACTTAGGTTAGGGAGGAGGGGTGGGGGAGTTACGACTTTTCTTTTGATGCTAGCTATATTTTAAGCCGAATTTTACTTTTCGGTATTGTACCATCATTTTATTTGGGTTATTGATATAATTTTTTTATTTTTATAACTGTTGATCAATTTAAAAAAGTGGATATCGGTTGCCTGTTAAACTGATAATAAAAAAGAGAAGGACTTGACAAATAACTTCACCCAAAATATATGGAACCACTGTCCAAAAAAGTTGAATCCCTCTTCCAACCGTTAAATCCAAAAAGTTTGAACCCTCTCAGGAACTCTACCCACAAAAAGTTGAAACCCTTCTCTAAGAGTTGGAACCCCTACCAAAAAGGTTGAAACTCACTCAAAAAAAGTTGAATCCCTACCAAAAATATTGGAACCCTACTCAAAAAAGTTAGAACCCACCCCAAAAAAAGTTGAAACTCCTACCCAAAAAAAGTTGGAATCTCTCAAGAGTTGGAATATCTACCAAAAACGTTGGAACCGTATCCAAAAAAGTTAGAACACTAACCGAAAAAGTTGTAACCCCTACCCAAATAAGTTGGAACCCTCCCCCCACAAGAGTTGGAACCTTTACCAAAAAGTTAGAACACCTGCCCAAAAACGTTGAACCCCTAACCAAAAAAGGTAGAATTCTATCCAAAAAAGTTGGAATTCTACCCAAAAAAGTTGAAACCCTCCCCCAACTGTTAGAACCACTAAGAGTTGGACCCTCTAAAAAAGTTGGAACCCTCCCCCTACAAGAGTTACAACCTCTACCCAAAAAGTTAGAATACCTACCTAAAAAAGTTAAACCCCTAACTGAAAAATTTAGAACTCTATCTAAAAAAATTGGAACCTTTGCTTTAAGAGTTGAAACCTCTGCCCAAAAAGTTGGAACCCCTAACCAAAAAAGTTGAAACTCACCCCAAAAAAGTTAGAATCACCCCAAAAAAGTTGGAACCCCTACCCCAAGAGTTGAAACATCTACCCAAAATAATTGGAACCTCTACCCAAAAATATTAGAATCCTCCCTTAAATATTAGAACCCACCTATAGAGGTGGAACTTTGGACAAGTTGGAACTCTCCCACAAGAGTTGGAACCTCAATCAAAAAGTTGGAACCCTACCCCCAACAGTTGGAACCTCTATCCAAAAAAATTGAAACTCCTACCCAAAAAAGTTGGAACTCCTAATCAAAAAAATTGGAACCCACCCAAAATAAAGTTGGAAGCCCTACCCAAAAATATTGGAACCCTTCCCAACTGTTAGAACCCACCTATAGAGTTGGAACTTTGGACAAGTTGGAACTCTCCCACAAGAGTTGGAACCTCAATCAAAAAAGTTGGAACCCTACCCCCAACAGTTGGAACCTCTTCTCAAAAATATTGGAACCCTTACCCAAAAAAATTGGAACTCTTAATCAAAAAAGTTGGAACCCACCCCAAAACAAGTTAGAAGCCCTAATCAAAAAAGTTGAAACCCCTACCCGAAGAGTTGGAACCTCTACCTACAAAAGTTGGAACTTCTACCCAAAAAAATTAAAACTCTAACCAAAAAAGTTGAAACATAACCTAAAAAAGTTGGAACCCCTATCAAAACAGTTGAAACTTCTACAAAAAAAAAAAATTAGAACCCTACTCAAAAAAGTTGGACCCCTCCCCCAACTGTTAGAACCCACCCAACTGTTTGAACCCATCCCAAGTTGGAACCTCAAACAAGTTGGAACGTTCCCTCAAGAGTTGTAACCTCCAAAAATGAAGCCTGACCCAAATAGTTGGAAGCATTATTTACAATTATTTGAATTATTTGATTTTATTGTTAATAAAAAATGGAACTATTTATAAATATTGAATATTTTAGGATTTTTTTTTTGATCTAGCTAATCCGACTTATCCAAAAAATTGGAACTCAATTCAAAAAAAGTTATAACCAGTTATAACCACACCAAAGCATTATTTACAATTTATTTATTTATTTGATTTTATTCACTATTTATTTGTTGTTATTTACAAAATATTGAATATTTTTGGACAGTAGAATTTTTTTGATGTAGCGAATTGGAGTCACCCAAAAAATTAGAACCCAATCCAAAAATATTATAACCTAACCAAATTGGAAGCATTATTTACGATTCTTTTAATTTTTTTATTTTATTCATTATTTAATTTTTTTTGTTAATAAAAATTGGGACTATTTATAAAAAATTGAATATTTTTAGGAATTTTTTTGATTATTTAAGGGATAAAAGTGTTATAGTTAAGGGATAAAAAGGATAAAAGGGTAATATTTACCCGGTCTCCCATTTCTTGGACTGGTCCTAAATGCTTCACATTATAAATTACACTTACGACCCTCATATTACAGTAGATTATTTTTTTATTTTCTAAGTGAAGGTCCACAAATCAAAAAAACCTTTTCTCTCCCTCCACTCACTTTTCCGCCTAAAGACTGTTACTTCTCTTTACCTTTCCTCCATCTTGCCTTCCCTCTATTTCTTTGATGGTAGAAAAATATTTGTTTGTTTGCTTTAGATTTTGTTGAGTCTGCAAGATTATTGTGAAACTCCATTATTTTTTTTTTTTTTGGTGAACATTGTCTTTGATAATCCATTGGTGATCCAAGTCTTGATCAGATAAAATGTAAGTGAACGTTTTTTTTTAGTTAATAGCCTAATTTATATGGTGAAGCCATTTTTATGGTTAATGGTTTATTTTATGTTTAGGGTGAAGAAGGAACATGAAGCTGAAGCTGAAGATATTAAGTCATCTCGCCCAACAACCTCCTGATTTTTTTACTATTGAAAGATTTGTTTTAATCTAAATGCTAAACTATTTGTCTTGATCTTATTTTTTATTCCAATGATTTTTTTTGCTTTTACCTTGTGATTCTTTGCATTCTTCATTTGGTTGAACGATTGAGCCATTATTCAGGAACTTCATTACTTGTTTGTTTTGAATTCAGTTGATTTGTTATTAGGGTTTTTCTAATCATGTCGTCTCTACAAACAGGGCTGCCACCTAAACTTGCCAACAATGTCATTTCGAGTTAGTTTCATTCATTCTTTTTCCTTTTTTATTTTTATTTTGAGGAAATAATTCTGCAATTATGTGCATACATTAATCGTAATGCGAAATGTATTTGTGTTTTGTTATTCAAATATTTGAAATGAGTATAATTTAAGTTACTATGATTATGTTCTATTTTTTTTATTAATTAATATATTGGTGTTTTAGCTCTATCAGGAATACCTCCAAATAGCTAAATATGTCGGTCATCAGGTACGCAATATTTCTCCCTTTCTATCTCCCTTCATCTTTTGTATTATCTTGTATATATCAATGTTTCAAGCTTGGTTTTGATTTGATTCTTGAGAAAATTAGATGAGGGGTGCCAATGAGTATTGGTTTAGAAAGAATTCGTCTTTTGGCTTTCTTTTGGATTTGGGTTTTCCTAATTTTGGGAGAATTCATTTTTTTTAAGGATGAATTAGAAATCTGTTTGTGAGATATATTTTGCTTTTGATTTTAATCTTTACTTCGTGTAAAAAATTTTGGAATCTTGTCCTTCGTGTGTTTTCTATTCAGTTCTACTAAAATTTCTTTGTTGCTAATCAAAAAAGGAAAAAAAAAAAGATGAATATTTTTTTCCCCTAACCTTAACAGATTTAGTTTTGGAAAGACAACACTAGATACCAGTTTGTTCTATTTTCTTGATAGTTCAATTTAGTGTCTGACAATTTGACTTAAGTGAATGAGTAGTTATACTTTACATAAGATTCATAGTTGAGGATCTGTCGGGGTTTTAGAATGAATTGTTGCCCAAACATAACATGGTTCTTCTATTATAATTAATATGCAGCAACATAATACGGATCTTGTTGTTGATATGGTGAGGCAGCAGTTCAAAAAACACATTCGTGAGACAAATCCAAACAAAATTCAGACGCTGAAGGATGAGTGAGTTTCATTTCACATTATTTTTCACTTGATCTCATTGGCTACTTATATTATTAGTGTTGATCACAATTCACTGCCATTCCCCAGACTAGCTCCTTCAATGATTTATTTAGTCTTTTCTTCATTTCTTTGTGCTTGTCTGTATTGAACCCTCCCCTAACCCCCACACCCACAATATTCATATAATGGTGCTCATGATTTGGTCAGTAAAGCAAATAGGAATCGAGCACCAGTTAACTCATATGATTCAAGCACATAGATTTTATTGATGTTCTTAGCACAACCTTTTTAATCCTTCTTACTCATGACTTTGATTAGGTTTACCCTCATGTTGCTACCAGATTCTCATATACATTTGCATTTCTTCGGGAATTGACGTTTAAATTCATGCTTGTTCTGGCTCCTAAGGTACATGCACCTTATTCTTTTGCTTGAAAGATCTTTTCTTCATGGTGTTTGGAACACACAATTTTAGATGAAGAGAGTACCTATCAAAATTTATGAGAATTATGTGTTGTATCAGGTAAACTAAGAATATGATAGTGGTTACTTCTTGTTAGCATATTACTTCCTTTTTGTGATCAAAAATTAAAATATTTTATTGATGATAAGAAAGACCAAGGACATCCTCGGAGTAAAAAGCTATCAATTTAGCTCTTGTTCGATAATTAAGTGACTCTGTTTCCTTATTAATTCATTCGTTCGATTAGAAGTTTTGTTTAATCATGTTTAATAAATTTTATTAAACATAAGCCCACTTGTGGGTTGACTTTCGAGCAAATTGTATGCTAAATTTAATCACAAAAGTTCTAAATAACTGATGCAGTTCTTAGATTTCATCGCAAATATGCATATTTACGAACTCTTTACTTAGCATGCT